TCTCAGAAATGACGCGCAGTGACGCTTTCGCTGACTTGGCTCGTCGTATGTCGAGCAAGTGACGACGACGGGACAAGCCATTCACGAAACAGGTGCATCAACCTGGGGCACAGGCACCCGCAATGCGGCACAAATGCAGTTACAGGGCACCTGCATAAAACCATACCATCTCTTTGTAACTGCTTTTAGGTATTAAGGTATTTTAGGTGTTTTCAGAAATAGTTGTAAAACTTCGACTAAACCTGGTTAAGCATAGTTACAGGAACTCCTGTGAAAGCAGAACATTGAGAGCATGCACATGTCGCTAGAAGCATAGTGTTTCTTAATATCAACTAAAGGAGACTCTGGCGCTGCGATCGTTCAGCGACCATGGCAATGATGGGTAGTTCAAGGATTTGTATAATCTTCTTACTTGCAGATGACGAATCGTTCTTTTGGCTTCGTTGTTACTGTGCTTCAGTTTTGTTTTGAAGGAAACAGCAAACCTTCTTGAATTTCGTTACCCGATTTCAAATGGTAAGCCTAAATCACAGAACATTTGCAGATTTTTTTTTTGTAACAAGAAAGTTCGAAGTCACGCGGACACAAACGAAGCCGGAAGTACAAAAACGAGACTAATCCTTGTACTACCCATCATCTTATCAAAGAGCTATTGCATTTCTCCTTTTCTACTCTCTTATTCATTTATTACACTTTCGTTCATTCTCACCTTAACTACAACATTGAATCATGAGGCAACACATACAGCAGTCACCTGTCATGATTGCAGACCATTCAAAACCGGGCCATTCGTGTAAAAACGTTTTCATCACGTTCTGTTAACGCAAATCATTTATCGCACTCCTACAATAATCCAATAAATATAATCTCGCCATTTTCGTTTTAAGGACACTACAGAACGATATTCCGGTGTCCATAATACCAAGGGTATCCATCATTAATGCTAACAATACTAGATTTGCTGCAAACAATAATTTAATTTTACCCATCGTTCGCACAAATTACGGCAAGCAGTTGCTACATTTCTCAGCACTTGCTTTAGGGGAATTCGCTACCGTCTACTCTAAAATCACTAAATGCTCCTAGGTTCTGATCTGAACTTAACATATTCTGCTTGATTTGCTGGATTCTTGTTGCTCACTGCTTTAGTTGTTCGCATTTGAAAGTTTATGTCTATCTTCTCATCCTTCCTCATTCTTCTGTGATTTCCCTTATTGGTCTTTATATTTTGTTTATTAGTTTGAGCTTTACTATGTTGCATTTTGAAATGTCTTCCGCTCTGTCCTTACTCTCATCGACTATGATACATTACTTGTTCGGTGCTTTTTGTTAACGCTGTTTAAAGTTATTCCTTACTTGATTAGAGTTAGTAATTATCATTATTCTTACTATTGGGCCCAGGAATTGTCAATTTACTAGTGTTATTGACTTTGTTATCATGTACAGGAGGTCCCAATTTAGTTCTTACTATGGGACCTCCTTCTGTATATACTAATCATGTATTCTCTCCTTTGTGTGACGTAAAAATTAAAATGATTCCGATTCCCATGCTCACTGAAGCGCCATGCGTTGCAGCTCCATAGACACTAGCACCAGAGTTTTCTCTAGTGTATATTTAAAAAACTCTATGGCTAGAAGGGCCACAGACATCGCTATCAATTTACAGCGTTGCTGGACAAAAAGGCACGTCGGTGTTCAGCGCCTTTCAAATTGATAAATACTGCTTATAAAATAACTAAGTGCTTCTGGGAACAACTACTGCAGGTGCAAACACTGTGATGGGTAAGCTTTCGGTCGCGCCGAAAAAAAATGGGGTCGAAAAAATTTGTTGTCGGTCCCTTCAAAGAACATCATGTAGTCAAAACTTCCGGATCCCTCGAAACACATATTCACTCTGTAGGCATTGTTTCTAGTATACCCAGTATAGTCTCAATTCGTTTCAATTCACGTTTGCCAATGCATGATTAATGTTACTTGTTGATTCTCCCAACGTATGTTTGACTTCAACACTTAACCTTAGAGTAACGTATAAAGTTAAAAGGGGACACTCCCATAGGCTCCTGCTCCTGATTTGGGGTCTCAGCACTCCAAGCAGTTGTCGGGAACCTTCGCAGCCTCAGAGATTAAAGACCACAGAAAAGGATGTCTCAAAGACCATTTTGTAGCGACAAGGAATGAATATTATACAGCCTCCGAGACCCCTTCTACTGGTGTGCTGGTCTCTGTGGCCATACCTTAATTTTTTTTAACACGTCGTTTGCATGCATCAATGAGCTTCGTGTAAGCTGCAGCGCTAGAGCGGCAAGCACACGATGCCAGAGTGTGTCTATGCACACATTTTAATTAAAACATGAGAATCTTTAGAGGAGGGAAAACTTTTATGTTCAAGTGATAATCTTGGTAAGCACATGCCAACTTTGTCAACGTTTGATAAACGCAGGCACAAAGAGAGGTTCATTGCACTGCGGGACGCTGAAATACAGCTGGGGTATCATGATTATAAATTGCACACAAGAAATAAACATATAGGCAACAATATAAAGAGAACAGGAGTAGAGTAAAACTTCAGTATATGCACACAACCACATATAGAGTGCACAACGCAACACGGCTATAGTTACTCCAACACTTGACTCCGGCATGCAAAAAAAGAAAAACAATATTTGACTACATTTTGTTTGCCACCATTTCACTAATTTCATACTTTGCATTTTACAACGCTCTGTCGCGAAAAACAGTCATGAGCAGTTGCCGCAGCAAAACGACGCAATTTTAGGTGTCCTGCAAGCAGTTAATGAGGCAGTAGTGTTTATTCAAGGTTACAACCTACCTTTAGCTAACAAACTTTTCTTAACTGTAAAAAATGAGGGCCCTCCTTCACGGAGGAAGCTGAAGGTATAGCGGTGCCGAGCACTTCCGTGAAACAGATTAGACCGGTTTCTGTAAGAAGGAGTCCTCTTACGGAATGCTAACGTTAGCACGGCCACCACAAAACACCCCGTCCCAGCTTTTTTAATAACAGACACCTTTCCGTGACTGAAACGGTCACAGCAGAGTACTTCATTCGGAAGAAGCACCTTTCCGTGACTGTTTTACAGCTGTTTTATTATGAAGGAGTTCCCTACAAACACCTTACGTTACATGTGAACGCAACCCTCCACTCCAAAAACAGTGTATACGTAGGTCTTTATGATAGCGAGAAACGTAAAACGGACACTGTTGCTGACTAATTTGATGTCATTTCAAGTCAATATTATATTTTGTGGGATGTGCTGACCTGTGATGGATCTAGAGGGCGAGCAGTAGGGGCGATTGCCTCCTTGAAGCCGTTGCCGGTAGACCCCCCTCGCTTTTCACTAGCGGAAATGCTGTGAGCCAGAATGTGTGGTTTTTATGCTGTGGTGGAGTTCTTGCGAATTTAGTAAGTAAATATCAAAACTCTTCCTTCTCCGTTTCTGTTCCAAGCGAATTCCCAGGGAAAGACCAGCAAGGGTGAAGCCCTTGCTGATCTTCCCCTCGGGCTGACAGACCACAATCAGACCACAGACTCGCATGCAGTGAAATAATGCACAGTGCTTGCAGAAGACACAACGTAAAAATAAAGGCCCGATGTTTGCACCTGGAATATAGATCGACAATATTGCAGTGCATCCCGGATGAAAGTAAACTAAAAATTCTTTATAAGGCAATTTGATATATTATTATCGTATGCATTGATAATATATTCACAGGTATTTTACCACTCACCATATGTGGATTGAATACATGCGGTTTATATACATATTGCACTGTTCATGCGATATCGTAGGCTTATGGGAATACTCGAGCACGACAAATGTTCAAATGAATATTAATGCATTTTAAATAATTTTGATTCCAATATAAATTATTGAAAATTATGTGCCCAAAATTACGTGCAACACATAGGTGCAGGTAATCCCCTGCAAAAAGTAGTTTCACTGCTGTATAAAAGTGCTATGCCATGAAAACTTCTTTGCAGAAATAATTCGCACTGCTGCAAAGCCTTACTTTTATAGGTTAAATTGACATATTGCCCTCGAATCAATTTTTCGTTTTCAACTTTAAAAGATTGTTATGCTGGCTTATATGCTCCAAGTATAACAAATCTTAAAATCTAACATATTTTACTACTTATCACTTGCATTCTGCAGAAAGTCGAATTATGCTAGCACTATTCAAAGTTAATTGCACTTCCTTTGAACCAAAAAGACCGACATTTGCACGCGCCTTGTTTCACTTGAAAATAATATTGTGCAAGTTGGTTGGATGACGATGAACATGGCCATTTTTTATAATATGTGAAATACACTATTCGAATTCGATTTAAAATTATTCCAGATAAATTACTATTCACTTTGAACTTAAAATTCACTACTCGCAGAAGCCTACTATGGATGTGTGAATTTGTAAATAAAGTGTAACGAGGCTTGTTTTTCTGACCTGTATAGATGTTCAAGCTGGGACAATAAATATGCACATCTGTTTTTGTTTACCCAGTACTTAACTGTGTATTCGATTCACTAACTTGTAATGTAATGCAACTGACTGCGTGCAATATTTTAAAAAAAACATGGTCGTGCATGCTTTGCTTGAACTCTGTCTTGCGTTTCTTCAGCAGTTTAGTGGAAGCAGCTGCTGGTACTGGTCAGTAAACATTGCGATTCTGCTAGCTGGTCAAATGTTGTAGCATGTCACTGTGAAAAGCACATCTTCCTGTGGCATGCATTGCCCCAGATAACAGTGTCATTTCAAGTTTAGCACGTAGATTACAGTAAAGCAATAAAACGCCTCCTGTGGTAACATAGCCTGATATTTCTCAGCTGAGCTCATTGCATTCACTATGCTTCCTACAAAGAGTGAGACAGTCCATAGCCTTGACAGGAAGTGTGCATACATACTATTATACTTGCCAAATGAACATCCAGCCATTCTGAACATATACAGGTGGAAATTATTTTGCCGATCACACCATGTCTTATGGTTTACCTGAAAAGAAACACAACAAACAGAAAATATTAGGACACGTCGACTAGTGAAAGAAGGCAATCTTTGCCAAAACAAAATACTATTGCATCTACCTAGCAATAACAAATGAAACATATAAAGCGGCTCTAATGCATCCACAGTGCAATCAAACTCCTCGAAGAATAAAAGACATGTATACCTAAAATGTCTGGACGAGTGAACAAAATTATCATTCAAAACAAAAAAGCTGATTGACTTCTCAGTGGATGCCACAAAAGGGAGACACTGAAGGGTGACCACGTTAAGCATGATTGCTAGACTGTCCTTTAGAGATCATAAATATGTAACTCCTAAAAGTACTTACAAAAAAACTTTACTTTCAGTTTTTTCTGTAGCAATAAGTACAGTAAACCCTCGTAATAACGAAGTCAGCGGGACGGCGAAAAAATTCCATATAAGCAGTGATTCGATATACGCAACTGCCTGATAAAAGATAAGCAAGTACAGCCAAATTAGCTATGACAACTTCCCAGAAGTGGTATCACGTGAAACATATCATTATTCACACACATAAAAGTCATTCAGCTATCTTTGTCGGGTGCTTTGGCTGGGCGCGAGGATTGCCTGCTTGAGTTTGTTGAGGCAAACTATGAAGTCATGGTCGCCGCTCGAGCCCTACACTCTATTTTGTAACAGACGGAGGCTCTTTTGCCTTTGTGCCATTGTTGGTATTTCACGGAGCTGTTAGTCTAGCGGCTCATCTTCCTCATCAGGGCCTCCAAGCAAGTTGTCTATTTCGGCCGGCTAGTCGACTGAGGCTTTGCTGCCTTTCCCAGTATAAGCAAAGAAAGTTTGTCCTCCCCTATCTTGTTAGCACCCAACAGCACTGTAATGCGTTCTTTGCTTTGTTTACATCCTGATAAAGTTTCGCCCTGTGTAGAGTGCATGCGCTTTTGAAATAGTTTGTAAAAGAATGCGGACTCGTCCAAGTTGTAAATGTCTCTTTCTGCGTACTGCTGAAGTAGGGCGCTCAGCCGACGCTTGCGTCATCTATCCACGACATCGTGGTCCACGGCTGCACCTTCACTAATGATCAATTTTAAGACACATCGTGCTGTCTTTTGAAATGTTCAAGCTAGCCCTTGCTGCACTTTAAATCTTGCTTGCCCATTCAGGTGTCTAGGGCTTTGGATTCTGCAGTCTATACAGACCCATTTACAGGAAGGTTTGTACTTCTAATGCTTTTCAACTATTCGAGAAGCACTCTTTCCACTTCAGAATACATAGAATCATGGTTGCGCTTTCATTTCCTGAGAAATTAGAATAGTTGATATTTTTGCGGTGGTATTTCGAATTGTCTTGCGATTTCAGACCTTTGCAGGCCTTTTTTCTTTCACCTGACGTATCAGTTGAACTTTCTGCTCCAATGTCAGACACTTCCGAAACGGATACCGGCGGTGCCAGTTTCACTCGACCTAATTGCTCAATGTGTTTGCTCAAAAACAGGCAGCTTGATTCAGCCAAACTTTGTCTTACTATACAATCAATGTTTCGAACATTTTAGAGCATAACGCCTGCCAGTTGGTGCTGTTAAGCTATACAAACCCCAGCTTCTGAGGATTCAGAAAATCCAGGCTCAAGAATGAATCTGCGGCTGAGGAGGCTCCATTTTTTATAATAGAGACACGATTTAACTTTTCACAAAACAATTCGGAAAATTATTTCAGTACTCACTAGACATGCAAGGTGTCAGGAGCTTTTCCCACTCTGTGTCTCAGTACTAAACTACGTGAAATGTAATGTAACTATGTGAAACGAACTAAATTATTTAAATGTTGAAATGTGATCAACAGCACTTCTTCAAGTGGCAACTAACCAAAATTTGTATATAATGTCCATAAAAATTTCTTTGGCCTTAGTGTCTGTTGCATTTATTTCATTCCGTCTTACAAAAAAAATGAGCTCCTCAAAAAATTCCCCTTCATTTGTTGTTTTCTATAAATTACTTGAAGCAGCACAAAAAAAAAACAAGAATGAGGGCAATAAAGCAACACACCCAACAGGACTAGTGCTAAACTGACAACTGAATCGTTACTGAAAATTGATCCCTTATGTCTACGTCAGAACAACCCCTTATCACAAAAAATTTCCAACATTATTCAAAGATGGAAGGCATAGGTGTTGTTGTACTATCGGGTGATTTGGAACAAAACATCTATTATAATCATGCGGTACTGACAGATTTATCTTCAGATTTAGCAAGATATTGGGCTTCAAAGATTCCTTATCAGTTTTCCCAATTTCAAGGGTCACATGTCCCAAATTCTCAATATGTTTGTGAGAGACACTTTAGTGTAGGGCTGCAGAAATTTGAACCACCTGAGGTCCTTTTTAGTCGGCCCCTAAATCTAAGCAAATGAGCCTTCAGCATAATCGCCTTCATTTAAAATACAGCTTCCATGGCTGGGATTGGATCTCACGACCTGTAGGTCAGCAGTATAGCCCCATAACCACTAGACCACTGTGGTGGATCAAGACACAGAGACTGATTGCATCATCAGCACATCTCACCTATGAAGAAATTCCAGTGTTGTCCAGACAGGGTCTGCATAAGCTAAGTTGAAAATTTAGTACCTATTAAGTAAAAGACAGGTAGCCTCTGAAAAGTCCACAGCCTCGATGAAAAGAAGCTGCTGGCAGGCCACAAAGCATTCCTTCTTTAAAATGCTTCCTGTGAAAAGATGGCAAACAAGCCAACGGATTGAAATCACTTCATTATTAATATAATCAATGCAGCCTGAAACGTATAGCTGCTTTATCAAAAAGGTTCCCACTACATTTACTGCATCCAAAGCACCTGATCACAACATATGATTGGGTTTCAAGCCAAGTGCAATTTTGTCATATGGCTGAATAGAACTTGTGTCACTGCAGATGGCTTACAGTTCCCAACAGAGAACTGAATGTTTGCACAATATACTAACATGATAGAGGCCCCTGACAATAAAACAAGGTGATATTGAGTACAGTTAACTCTCAGTAAACATAAATTAAAACACTTCACTAAAAGGTCTTCCCACTTAACCATATAACTGCCTATTTAACTTCCAAAAATTGTACAAAAATCATTAATATTTTACGATATACATCAATATGTCTATGCAATTCTGATTTTTAAATTATTATCACGCTGATTTCTGGAATTCGCACAAAAATTTAAGAAAAGAAAAACTGCTGTTGAGGGCGGCTTTCACTCAATGAATGACCTGGTAATGGGTCACAACATACTGAAACCTGAAGCATTTTCCTTATGCAATACATGGTAACACACTGAAAAGTGCTAAGATGTTTATCGCGCAAGTGGTCGGTTATCAGCGTTCACGCAATGCCACACATGTGCACTGCTCACGACATCACCGTCACTGCTGCTCTTGTCGTCATCAGAAGCAATATGCCGGGTAAACGCAACGTCCGAGTCACTGTCGGCAACAAGTGTCATGTTGCCACTAATGCTGCCACTGGCATTCTTCTTGCAAAACAGCACTATGAAATGACTGTTGCCGAGATTAAAACACGCACGAAAGGCACTAAACGTGGTTTTTGATAGACAACAACTGCTGTCTAGAGCTGAAAACTGCAAGAAAAGTAATTGACATCTGTGACGTGTCTTCGGCAGCGGTACAAAATCGCGTGATGAGTACAGTTCGGGGTCGGTGGCTTAAAGGGGCCCTGAAACACTTTTTGAACATGGTCTCAAAACGCTGCTGATTCTTGACAACACGCGAGCTAAGTAATATAGCTTGGCACATGGCATGCAATTCACAATAAATTATCAAATTTAGCTAAACATTGCTCTCTCTTCTCAGCAAATGATGGAGCAAGCTCAAAAAGCACTCGTAGAAGGCCTTCTACCAGACAATGGGTGATTTGAACATGGCGCGCTCGGTCAATACAGGGATTGCCGCGGGAGGCTGTGACTTGTCCACGTGTGCACACGCGATCCCACTGAAGAAGCTGCGGTTAAAAAAAAAGTTCTCAATATCACGAGGCGTGAGTGGCGAATTTTTATTGACCACGCCACCCCCCCACTCCCACCTCCCTGCTTAGCTTCCAGCGCTTTTGTCGGGACGAGAGAAGAGAGAATGCAATTTCAAAGTGCGTCAAATTTTTGTTAATCCACTCGCACAAGAAGGACTCTTGAAGTTTTCGCGGCATTGAATTCATGAAACAATAAAATCTTTTCATGAATCCATATCATGGTTACTTTGAAAAAGTGTTTCAAGGCCCCTTTAAGTGTGACTTAAAAAAGGACCAATTATACTGATTACATCAACTGATTGGTGAGGGTTTCTGGCTCTTAAATTCCAAAAATGCTGCTAAGCAGAATACAGACTCCCTCCCTCAGCAGCAATGAAACTGATTTTAATAAGTCAGAGCTGTAACTGTGCGACAACCACGTTTGAAAAGATGACGAAGGGCTAATACAATATGCAGCACATTCCCTTGCATTACCGCAGCTAAGCCTGCAACACTATACTTGTTGGAAAACAGTGATCAAGTCTTCCTGCAGTAATAGCAGCAGCTGTTTTCTTGTGAGTGCAGCAAGCTGCACAAGAGATTCAAAAATCTCTTTCATTACTCACTGATGAACACTGAACAGTGCTTAGAGAGCTGATTTAGGTAGGTTCTTGCATGACTTTAGAGCTTTATGTGAAAAGCACCTCTACTTTTTGATAACTTGCAATGAAAGGCTCTACAGTGACAGACGCACACCACAGATTTAGTTTAGATGGCTGTCATTTGCATAGCTGCATAGAAACAACTCTTGGCAGAGATGTTGTCAAAAGTCACATCTTTAAATGAGCAGACCATTGGACATGTGGTTTGCTGCAGATTGGTGCCACACAGTAGTTAAGTGCACAGAAATTCAATACGGTTTGGTAATGCAAATTGCTCCAACTTCTCCTCATGATGACAACTTGCAGCAGACAGTGTGCTACGTAGTCATTTCAAC